CCCTCATTTTTCTCCAACAGGCAGCTCTGGCTCCTTCTAGGGGGAAATTATATATAAAGTCCACTGGGTGTTATAGGCAACTAATGAATCATTGAACACTCCATCAAAAACTAATGATGTACTACTATACAGTGGCTAACTGAACATAATGATAATAATAAATAAATAAATAAATAAATAAATAAATAAATAAATAAATCCCACAATGTGGGTGCCAGGGAAGTTTATTGTTATTGTGATGGTCATTATTTCTGGACAGAGCTAGGATGTTGTTTTGCTTACACATTTTAATTGCTGTTTACCTGTGTATATAGCAGGATGATATTTTTCCTCCTGAGTTTCAGAATTCCATACCTGCTTAATCAAATAGTCCATGTGTTTATTGTAACTACTGGTGTCCTAGTTTCTTTAGGGTGAGAGGGGGGATGGCTTACCACATGACCTGGCTCTCAAAATCTTCCTTTATACTCTGTCAGTCATGAATCAAAATGGAAAAAAAAAAAAAAGAAGAAGAAGGGAGAGAGACTGATCCTAGAAGAGCTCCAAAGGCTCTAGTGACATCATCCAAGTTGACCTCTTTATTTTGTGAACAGATACCCCAAGGACAGAGAGGTGACTTGCTCAGGGTGAATTAAGTCAGTAGTTCTCAAATATTAATATGGTCAAGAACCCTCTGGAGAACTTGCTTAAAAATTGATCATTGAGGCTCAGTCCAGAGATTCTGATTCAGTTGGTCTAGGTGGGTCCCTGGTAAAGTCAATGCTGCCAGTGCATGGACTAACCTTGAGTGGCACCGATCTAGAGGTTTCCTGATAAATGGTGAAAGTGAGCATCTTCTTGGCTACAGCTCTGTTAAAAGCACAGATGAACTCACTTTGAGCTACCTGGAAAAGCACTGTGAGCACATGCTTCAAAAATCAAGTCATGGGGTCCCAAGCAGGTGAATTGTGGGTTGGCTAGGTAGTTTACCTCCCTCAGTCTACTTGGTGTCTTCAAATTTTCATGACAGATTAATTCCTCTAGGTTAATCCCTCCTTTAAAAATCAGATTCTTAAAAAAAAAAATTCTACCTCTGCTGGCAAATTAAGCCACTGATTTCAATTTAAGCCTGTTTCAAACACCACCAGGAAATCTTATGTGAGTCTCCTGTTGTAGGAAATCTCTGAAATCTCACAACTTCTGCCTGTATCCCTTTCTATGCCCAAATACTTTCTGCAGGATATGTTTAGACATTCTTGAATAAGGAGTGATTTAGCAAACTAGGTATCCTAGAGATGCAAATTCCCAACTCCAGATAAAAGATATAGGATTTACCTGAGTAATAGCCTCAAGGTTTGATTAAATGCAGCCAGAAGTGTCAGAGGTTTGGAAATCTCAGCCGTCTGTCTATGGTAAAAATAGACGACAGATACCCCAAAGTCAAGATAAATACCTTCACTTCATAACCACTCAGCAATCTCGGAATAACTACCTTATGTTATAATAAGGTCCCCTTATTCAAGTTTCTAGAGGCTTTGTGTCACAAGTTTCTACAGGCTTTGGGACATAAGAGGAGAGGAGTAACTGAGTTCCTGCCTATAGTCCCCCCTTGATACCAGTGACTTATCTACCTCCATATTTCCTAGGCTTGTGTTAATAGGTGCATGTGCTATTGTATGGAGGAGAAGGACCCAAGGATAAGTACTGGTGGTTAAGAGACTCAGATTACTCACATGTTTACCTGTGGGGAGTGGGGAAGATAGGTACTAAAGAGCATGGAAGAAACAAAAACAAAAAGGGTAATAGAGTGATCAATTTTGCATACTTGATACTACTTTTGTTTGGACTATAAAAACTACACTGCTGTTCACTCTTCAGACCACCTTTCTCTCCTTCTCTAGATAATGTATCAGTCATAAATCAAAGGATTTTTTTTTAAGCATATCTGATACCTGAAAGATGGCAAACAGTGGTTGTCCTTCTAATGGCAATGAATAAGCAGATAGGGATAATACCCTAAAAAACAAGAGGCCTCTTAAGAATAATGTATTCAGTTAGCTACTGCCAGCAAAATGCTGTGTAATAAGTCATAGCTTATCACCCAAGACTCAATAGCATAAAAAAGCAATTGTTTATCTTTATGGACCTATGTGTTGTCTGAGAGTCAGCCAGTTGGTCTAGGCTTAGTGGGGTGGCTCTGCAGATCTCAGTTCAGCTTGCTCCTTCATCTGGTGCCTGCTGACAGAAGCTGGGCTCTATTGGATGGTTAATTTCCACTCCATGTGTCTTTCTTCCTCCTCCTGGGACGAGGGGCTAGCCCAGCACGCTCTTTTCCTGGTAATGGCAGAGGCACAGGGAATATGTAGAAATACTGCCTCTTAAGGTCTAAGCTCAAAACTGGCATGCTGTCTTTTTAACCTCACCCTATTTGCCAAAACAGTCACCTGGCCAAACATAAAGTCAAGGGGGCTGGAAATATAAGCTGTTCCTGCAGTGGGAGGGATTACAAAGTCACATGTCGGAGGGTGTGCACATGGGATAGGAGAGCGAAGAATTGGGCACAAATACATATTAAATTAAATATTATTACATATAAGAAAATTCAGATAAAATACCATTAGATTCTGATGCTAATCTATAATGCTTTCTTGTGGGTAAGCTGTTAAAAAAATACTTCAGCCAATGTATCCAAGGGGTATCTCTTGTTTAGATTTCTCTTCCTTTTTTGCTGTTTAGATTCTTTAAAGTCTTTTTGTTTTCCACAAGGTGCCAATGTTACACTTGTCTGTATAGAGCCTTATTAGTTAGTGAAATATCCCAACTCTATAGCTTCAACTCCTCCATCACTCTAAGTATATGTCATCTTCAATACATGCTGTCTTGCTGCTAAATAACCTCCAATTCATGGATCAAAGTACCCATTAGTTATATATTTACATGACTGAAACTTTATTTCTCTACTTGAATATCCTGTGTAATTTCAGAGACCATTTATTAACAAGTTCCTAACGCAAGACTCTATACAGGACCCTTTATATCTCTTTGTCTCACTTAGCAATTCTGCAATGTTGATAGTATAATTTCCATTATACAAATGGGGGAACTGAACCCAGGGAGATTAGATAAGTTGCTTAAGGATCAAATTGGTAATAGTATCAGAATTCAAATATGGTTGTATTCAGCTGCAAAGCCAATGGTTTTCCTATTATTTTCTGCATGATTTTTGTTTCATTCCCCCTACCCATGACCCACCACCTACCCCCAGACCTGAGTTTCTAGATTTTCCTCTGAGATACAGTGAGGGGTAGGTTTTATGCCAGTTGTTTTGGTGGCAAATGTTGGTCGGGACCCTTTCTATTCTCTTGAGAGCCCACAGGTGTGGCAGGGCATGTATTATTATCCTCTATAAAGCTGAGAGGGCTAATACTTTGAACTAAAGAGATTTATATAGTTAATAAGTGGCAGAGCCAGGACCTAGACTCAGACTATTTTTCTCTTACATCATTTAAATTACTACATTTAATCACAGTAATTGGAAGAATGACAGTGTGCATTTTTGGTAATAGAACTAGCCAGTTAACTTGACTCCAAAGGACTGTATTTTCCTTTAAGACTCTAGAAGAATTTGGGAATAATAATAGAGTGAGTATTCCTTGCATTACAATAAAATAATTAAATATATCTTGTTAGAAGAGAGTTACTATGCAGTGTTATAGTGGACTAGGTTCTAGAGTGTTAGATTTATAACAGGATTCTTCAATAACCTGGAACTCTTGGTAACTGATTGCTGGTTACATAACTTCTTTAACAATTCAAGTTATAGAATAATCCAAAAACAACCTTAAATAAATAAATAATAAATAAATAAATAAATAATAAATAAGTAAATCAATTTCCAATGAACATTTTTTAATGTACATATCTGGTGCAAGGAATCAAGAATTGACTTTTCTTTGTGTTTTGATCTGCCATTTTTGTAGCAAGCGCTGTTGCACCATGGTTTGTTGCACTGATGTGTAGAAACAGGATGTAAGCTGTTACTTTATTTGCAATGGCTTGCCATTGATCTCTGTCTCAAGCATTAGAGGAGTTTTGCAAAACTCAGTGAGTCCTGATTTTGGTTAGTTTTACACTCAATAAAGCTGGAAGATGAAGTTTCTTTCCTGAGCATTATTTATCTTATCCTGAGTTCTTCAAAACATGTTATTACAAGAATTTTTCATTATTGATATATTTCAATTTTTGAGGTTTGTTTTTTTTTTTTAAAGACTTCTAGATGGGGAGGGAAAGAATGAGAAATTGAGATTTATGGAGTAGCTACACAGTGTCTAGCCCCATGCTGGGTGCTTTACATAATTTATCTCTTTATTGGTCCCATATTACAGATGAGGAAATAATGGCATTTTTATTAATGCAAACCAAAGAGAACTCTAACTTTTGTGTTGTTGTCATCAAACATTGGTGCGTTCAAAATTTGGGCTATTTCCTCCTGTTCTCTTTGCTATTAGAACATATTTCCTATACTAGATACCTAAACTCGTCTGTTGCCAAGCAGTATCAACATCATAAACTTATTATATGTTGACTGCAGCACTTTTAAGTCTCAAATATACACACTCCACTCTCTAAAACAAGAGAATTTGCCTTTGCCCAGCATTCCCAGAAAGAGTCCAGAAATTCTTGGGGCTCCTTGGTGGCTCAGGTGGTTAAGCAACCGACTCTTAATTTCAGCTCAGGTCATGATCTCAGGGTCGTGGGATCAAGCCCTGTGTCTGGCTCTGTTCTCAGCTAGGAGTCTGCTTCTCTCCCTCTCCCTTTGCCCCTCCATGCTCTCTCTCAAATAAATAAATCTTAAAAAAAAAAAAAAAGTAAATCTTAAAACAAACAAAAAAAGTAAATAAAAAAAGAGAAGGGGTCCTGAAATTCTTTCCAACTGGACCATCTTGAGTCACATATCCATCTTGAACCAATAATTGTGATTAGGGTGTGAATTAGGGAATAAAATGTTCTGCTCAGTTTACCTTAGCCTAAGATTAGTGTCCCATCTTTGGAGTTGAGACATGGAGTCAACGTCTTCAAAATGACATAGATTCTGAAATGGAAATGATAGGTTTTGAGGAAGGCAGAACTGGAGTCCTAGGAGGCAGGCAAACACAACCATCCACAACATTATTCATTCTTTCAGTGAACCATGTAGACAACAAACTGTCTTCCTAACTGTAGGGAAAACTAAAAAAAAAAAAAAAAAAAAATTAAACATAGTTCCTTCCCTAGGTGTCTATATATTTATTATGGAGAGGGAGGAGCTAAATTAATAACTATAATAAAACTTGAAATGGTATGAAACAAAAGTGGTACAACTATTGAGGTGGGAAAGATAATTACTTTTCTGGAGGAATAACAGAAAATTCTTGAAAGAGCTGAAAGATGACTTAGAACATAAAGGACGAGTTAGAAATTTTCTTGGCCATGTGTGATATGTTGCTGGGAGAAATCAGGACACAGGAAAAAAAAATAAGCTTTTTTTAGGGAATAGGATGGACAGAAAGATACAGTAAGTAATAGCCAGGGCTTTAGTAGAAACGTAGCACCCTGAAAAAATACTACCCTATTTCACTGTTTTATTTGGGATTAATTTCTTAATAAAGATGGTAAAAAAAAATAAGCATGTGGATGAAAGTATAATTTCTTGTTGGTTGAAAGTGGTAAATTCTGTATTCTTTAGTGAGTTAGTTCTGTTGCTCAGGAAGCCAGTGTACTGCAAATTATATTTCTTTGTTTAAATGGTTCCCTTCTTAAGAATTTTTTTATTTTCTTTTCTTTTTCTTTCCTCTTTTTTTTTTTTTAGAGAGAGAGAGCAAGTGAGTGAGCATGGGCAGGGGGTGGAGAGGGGCAGAGGGAGAAGGAGAGAGAGAATCTTAAGCAGACTCCATGTCCAGTGCAGAGCCCGAAGCAGGGCTCTATCTCACAGCCCTGATATCATGACCTGAGCCAAAATCAAGAGCTGCACGCTTGACCGATTGAACCACCCAGGCGCCCCAAGAACTTCTATTTCTGAATAAAGTTTCAACTTTACTTATTTGCTTGTATCTCATGTGTTATAAAAGAGGGTGTAAAGTAGCTGAACTCAAGCTTTGTATCCAAACATTAAAGTGAAGGTTTTCCCTTATAGACTGGGCTTCCCACGGGGCCAAGGGTGTTATGAACATTTATTAGAAGGTAGATATGTGGAAGGTTCCCTAGCCAGTGAGCCTCAATTTTCCATGATGGGTGTGATTAAAAGGGAACAAGGACATGTCCAAACCATGGGGGTGTCTGATTATAGAGGGGCCTTCCTAATTATGTGTCTGATTATGGTTAACATTTACATCATTTTTAAAACACATAAATAACCCTCAGCAGGGAACGTGGCCAGAAAATGCAGATTGAGGCCTTGTGAGAATGAGAAGCGGCTTTCAAATCTACGAAAGAGAAAAGCTATGCGTCTTTCCTCTAGTCTGGAGCATATGGTCTAAAAGAGAACCAATAAAAAGAGAAATACAAATATACCTCTGTCACCTTCCTTTCCCCCCAAATTAAGTAGATTGAGGACATCTCTGAACAACCAGGCTTAGATAATTAAATTGTATATTTGCTGATCAATGTGTTCAGGCTGTAATGAAGAAGACTGTGACGTTCATTAAACAAACCTTTCGAAGTTTGGTGTCTGTCTTTTGTGGCTCATGTTATTCCATCCCCGGACATTTCCTGTTTTCTCCTCTCCCATACTCTGTCTACCAAATCCTTTCTATGCTTCAATTCCACTTCCAAAAGCAGCCTCTCCTGTGAAGCTTTTCTGGGTTTTTCCTTCTCCCAGTTAGGCTTTTTTTCCCACTACTCTGCTCTCAAGGCACCCTCGCATTCTGCCTTCGTGTATTTCTACTACAGGTATCTGCCTCCTTCAGTAGATGATAAGCTGCTTGAGGGCAGGACGGTGTCTTCTCTTGTTTGTGCCCATCATTCACTACTATATAATCTTTACACATCTCTTGAGAAAACATATACATCTTAAATAAAATTGTTTAAAGGTAACATACCAGGAAATTGGTCTCTGCTCTCATAGCTTTGCAAAGTATTGCTTCTTCTCTTTGGGATGAAATTGATCAATTACATTGAAAGTTGCCATCATTAAAAGGTTTATACCTAGTAAGGGAGATGAGAAGTCTTAAATTCAACAAATACTCAACAAAATATTTCATGTTTATTACGAACCTACCATCATACTATAGTAATGGACCAATAGTCATGGTCACTGCCCTCATGGGAGATTCTTGTCTAGTGAGGGAAATGGTCAGTCAATGTACAAAATAACAGGCATTTATAGTTAGACATTGTATTAAATGTTATGAAGAAAGGGAATGGTGATTCAGGATAAAACAGAAGCTTTAGAGAAAATGAGGGTTAGAAAGTCATTTCTGCTGATGAGCCTTGATTTGAAGTAAATGGAATGATGACATGAATTCATGGAATTTCTTGAAAAAGCTTCTCATAGGCAAAGGAAACATGACATTTACCCTAAAGAGGAATGAGAGGAACTGATATGAGATACCTCATCCACATAAGTGTGGGTTCTTCTGAGATAACAAGGGTGATAGAGAATATGAAAATATTCCAAGGATTTTAAATTTCACATGCCCACCAACAGCCTGGAATTTGAAGATACAGTATCTCAAGCAGAGCTCAGATTCACAAAACTCTTCTATTTTAGGTTTTCCTGATAGGTTTTGTGGGGGACATTCTAGGGGCATGAAGATTAAGCTTTACTATTTGTAAATGGGGAGTTTCATCAGATGATCTTAACTTTCTCCTGTAATCTGGGAAGGCTGTGGTATGCAGCACAATTTGTATTTGAACATGTCCACACAAATCTGGGTGGTTCTGACATTACAGACCCAGAGGCTCCGCCATAATCCAGATTTCCTTCTGGTGATAATGCAAACACCAAAATTATGGCCACCTGTATTAGTTTCCTAGGGCTGTTACAACAAACTACCATAAACTCGGTGGCTCAAAACAACAGAAGTTTATTCCCTCACAGCTTTGGAAATGAGACATCTGAAATCAAGATGCCAGTAGAGTTACACTCCCTCTGAGGGCTCTAAAGGAGAATCCTTCCTTGGCTCTTCCAGTTTCTTACTGACTCCAGGCACTCCTTGGCTTATGATTGCATATTTTAAATCTCTGCCTCGGTCTTCCCATGGCCTTCTTCTCTTCTCCTGCCTCTCTACTGCATGTCTTTTTTAAGGACAACAATCATTGGATTTAGGGCCCACATGGATAATCCAGGATAATCTCATCTTGAGATCCCCAATTACATCTACAAAGATTCTTTTACCAAATAAAATCACACTCACAGGTTTGGAGGATTAAGACTTGGATATATATCTTTGGGGGCTGGCCACCATTCAACCCCACTACACGATCCTACTCAGAAAATATGGGAAAGACAAGGCATTTCTGCTTTCATTGTACATAGCAGTTGTAGCTATAAATAAATATAGAACATTAATAGCAATACTAGCATGTCGAGATGAAAAAGTATCCTCCAGGGAAAGAGTTTTAAGCTAAGTCAATGACACAAGTTTGAGATCTCTAGTGAATGCCACCTTTCCCCCTCAGACAGTCTTGGAACTTTAAGGCCTAAGTCCTTTTTGAATATTCTATTTTAAGGCCCATCAAGACTGACGTTAATTCTGTGGCCAGAATCCAGAGAAGCTGCTGATTTGTTATCAGGTAGCTTTAAGAAGACGAAAGGTGAACCAGAAAGCCCAAAAGAAATGTCTTTGGCTGCCTGGTAACCAGGACTATTGTAGGTAGTTCTGTTGTTTGAGCCTAAGGTGGAAGTCTGCAGGAGCTAAGAGATGGAGTAAGATATGACTGCAAAACCCATGTCTTTGTTAAATCATAGAATCTCAAGACTGGTCATCTTATTTGACCATCAGATTCAGTGATGATTTATCTGTACAACAATCTGCTAAGAAGTTTTCTGATCCATATTTGGATATCTGGTGCCTCTTCTTTTATCCAGCATTGTTAGCAGTTTCTTCTATTTTAACATGGATTTTACCTTCTGTTTAATAGACAAATTGGTCCTCGTCTTCCTGTATAAAGAACCAAAATGCTCCTAATGGCTTAGTTCCTCTCTTCAAAAATGTTGAAACTTACCCTTTGCCACATATATCTGAGAGTCATGAGTCACTGTTGTAAGAAGGGCATAAACTGTCTAATCTTCGAGCTCACCTTGGCCATGGTTAGAATGTGCAGTTTAGGGGCAGCTGGATAGCAAACCAAGAGCAAAGAAGCTGAGAATTGGATGGGAAACTGAGGACATTCGTGGCATTTCCTACTCTGGGGATTTCAGTAGGGTACTATTTCAGCTCCTGTGGGACAGGGCGGGGAATAAACGTTGAAAGGAAGAGCTGAGGGCATAAGAGCATAAGACAAAGCTTGAATCCTTCCAGGGATTCCATTAGAAATAAATCAAGGATGAAGAGAAGTAGGAGCAGCCCTTAGAAACAGGGGCCAGCAGGAATAATTGAGGAAGTAGGTCCTAAAGAACTTTACAGTCAGGCTGGAACCAATATCTGAAGAGCTGACTGGTCCTGGAAGGGTCATTGATCAGAAAGCTACAACTAAATAAAAGGGAGGGCATGGAGTGAAAGAAAGGAGTGCCAAAACAAGGAGAAGTAGATGGGGTTTGGGAAGGCTCAAGATCTAGGGAGGCTGGGAAGTGAGCCAGGAACTAGGCAAAAGAGCAGTCAGAGGCAAGATTGGCATGACTCAAGCCTGGCACTCCTAGGAGAGGGATGTGCCCCAGCTGTTCAGCTCTTTATCCAGGGATTCCTGGGTACAGAGCAGCAGACCCTTGCAGATACCAGGCCCTTATGTCTATCAATGGCTACAGATGGGCTTTCCTGTGCTAGAGCTCTCTGAGGTTGAGCAGCTGGTCAAGGCCTACCATAACAATCTTTCAGTATGACTTTCAATCCCAAAAAGGGGGGGTTAAGGACTTAATAGTTCAAAAAGTGAAAAGGAATTAAGAAAGGGGCTCAGGAATCTATCTTTAGGACAAATTAAATTTTGGTAGTTAAATTTTAATGCAGTTTTTTTTTCAATTATATTGCAATCTGGTAACTGCTTCTCAAACATTTATTGACTTTAGAGAATATGGAGTGGACCTATTTTAATTACTTCTCTAAGTCTCCTGCTAATATTCAAATTAATTGTCTTTATTTTTTTTTTTAAGATTTTATTTATTTATTTGAGAGAGAGAGAGAGAATGAGAGAGAGCACATGAGAGGGGGGAGGGTCAGAGGGAGAAGCAGACTCCCTGCCGAGCAGGGAGCCCGATGCGGGACTCGATCCTGGAACTCCAGGATCATGACCTGAGCCGAAGGCAGTCACTTAACCAACTGAGCCACCCAGGCACCCAAATTAATTGTCTTTAAATACCCTGGTCACGAGACATAAACAAGTGCACTGGAGAAACAAGCAGAGATGGAATGTCCACTTTTTATGTCCAGGAGGACTTCTGTACTGCTGTAACCCAATGAAGAGACACTCCACATCTGAGCTTCCGTGCTGCCACTTGTTAGCTGAGTGACCTTGGGAAAGTTACTTAACTCTCCTGAGTCTCAATTTCTTTCTTTTTTTTTTTTTTAAGATTTATTTATTTGAGAGAGAGAGAGCGCGTGTGCGCACGTGCACACACGGGGGAAGGGCAGAGGGAGAAGGAGAGAATGCTCAAGCTGACTCCCTGCTGAGCACGGAGCCCTAAGCAGGGCTGGATCCCAGGACGCTGAGATCATGACCTGAGCCAAAATCAAGAATCCGCTGCTTAGCTGACTGAGTCACCCACTGAGCCTCAATTTCTTCATCTGATATTTGGGATAAAAAATACCCATGCCCTAGATTTCTTGGGAGGATTATAAGTAACGTATGTGAAATTTCCATCATAGTGCCAAGAATGGGGGCAGGGCAGCTATTATTACCAACAAATTGTGTTCAATAGACATGTCCACTGTTGGTAAGAAAGCATAAATTCAGAGTTACTTGGGACTAAAGAAGGGAGGAGGGTGAACTTCGGCTAATTTCTGGCTATTGTCTGGCTAATTTCTCAGCAGCTTTGACTTAAAGTCTTTTTTTTTTGAGGAAAGTCTTTCTGCTCTGAGTAAGCTTGTATTTCCTATTTACCTTGAAGCTATGGTGCCCTCCTACCACAGATGTTGGTTAATTCTCAAATGAAATGCCAGCTTTCCCTTAACAAAGAGGCTCAACATTCTCCAAAGTAATTTCTCAGTCCTCCTCAGGTGTTTTCTTGGCCACTTGCAACTTCACTCACTGGCAGATTATACTGGGCTCCAAGGCAGAGAGAGGTCAGTGATTTTTCCAGAGCTGTATTCAGATGGGAAGGGAACCACAATTTGAACAGGAGAACTTATAAAACCTTTAGAACTTCTGGTAGTTTTCTTTCATTGTTGGCTTTGCTCACTGAGGGCGGAGTATACTGTAGGTTCAGACTTCATAGCACATTTTAATACCTACAGACCTACAGAGGTGTGCAAAGCTCTCCCCAGGAATGGAAAGACCTCACAGACTGCTCCTCATTTGGGGAGAAAATATGTGGTAAATAGTGTGCTAAGATGGCTTATGAAGTAGTGCAACTCTCACTCTGTGCAAACACAAAGCCTCTGAGTTTCAACCTCATGGGACTCTGACATCAGCTCTTACTTCCCTTATGGGTAACCAGAAGTTGTAAAGTCAAGAACAGTGTTTAACATCTCAAGTAACCGGAGAAGTAATAGCTCAAACTCAGAATGTTATTGTTGGTTAGGATTGATATTTTTGATTAGTGAGGCTGTAGATCTAACTTTATTTGACACTGCCTAAGCAAGCATTTTTTACAATTTTAGTTGAAGACCCAGGAGATTCCTTTCAAACTTTAGAAATAGGATAGCAAAGGAGAGACTGCAAACACATACAAAAAATGCAGGGCGATTTTTTAATATTTACTTAGGCATATCATTCTGTCAAATGGATTTCTATAGGGTTGACATTTATGTTTTGTTGTTTTCCACATTGGTTCTGGTATTTTCAGACAGATTTTCTTTTTTTTTTTTTTAGCTACCCTGAGGTGATCCTTAACATGGAGCTGTCATTCCAGAGTCTTTTCTCAAAATATTTTGGATAAAATGCTGCTTGTTTTCCCAGAGTGATTAAAGTGAATGCTCCTACTTTTTTTTCAATAAACATAACAAAATATAATCTAAGGATAGCTCACAGGCAGGGAAAGCTGTTTGTCCACCAGCAACCTTTTCTCATTGTTCTGCCTCTTCTAGCTGGGTTGGATATTTATCCTGGCTCCTGATATCCTTGAAGAGGGACTTTGGGGGATGCTTAAAGCATGGCTCTGCCACTCAGAAGCTGTCATTCATCTCTCTGGGTCTCTGGAGTCTT